GGGATCGAACCCAAAACCTAGTATTTGCCCCGATTGGGAATCAAACCCATTGCCCCTTTTTGGTGTACTAGACTGATAACACTTAACCAACTGAGCCACCTGGCTGGGCCCAAACCATATGACTTTGGTTTTACACAAAGTCATATGCTCAAATGTCAACAAAGGTGACTAACTTTGTCACTTACTGCTTCAGAATTCTTCCTAAAAGGGAAGTTAAGAGGGAAAATTAATCATGATTTGTCAGTATTTTGATAGACACACACATGGTTTCCTTTCTATACAGCAGATGATGATGGAAAACAGGAAGTCCTAAGGGATGGCAGGGAGGAGTGCTAAAATGGAAAAAAGTTTCCTTCTCCAAATCTGTTCAAGGGCAGAATCTCAAAACTGCGACAAAACTGTTTAAGAAACCTCAAGCTTTTAAAAGATTCAGAATTTTTAAATGCTATTTCTTTTTTTAAAGATTGTCCAGACATGGTTTTTATTATTTATGGAAGTATAATTGACTAATAATGTACCTTCTTTAAAGAACATTATAGCCCAGGTGGTGTGGCTCAGTGGTTGAGTGTCGACCCATGCACCAAGAGGTTGCCGGTTCGATTCCCAGTCAGGGCTCATGCCCAGGTTGTGGCCCAGATCCCCAGTGGGGGGCACGCAGGAGGTGACCAATCGATGTCTTCTCTCATCGGTGTTTCTCTCTCTCTCTCCCTCTCTCTAAATATCAATAAAGAAAAAAATTTTTAAAAAAGAACATTATAAATGATTTCAAATGCATAAAAAAACAGTAGTATTCCAAGGTTAAAGGAAATAGAATTTTCCCCAAGAGAATGATTTCTAAATAAAGAAAACCCTGTATTCATGTGAATTCTAAAGGCCCCAAACTGGAGAGAATGCTCCATAAGAGTATCAAGACACAGACATATTGATTGTTCAATTTCTTAATAAATAAGCGGCCTTGTAGAGACCACTTATATTAGAGGTTTTCTTATAAAAATAAAAAACTGAAAATTGTCAGACTATCAATTATTCTTTCTCAAACAACTAAAAGAATGGCTAATACTAATTTGTAGGAACAAAACTACGTATTCTTTTTCTTATCCAACTAAAATGGTGTCAATGGATAGCCATTTGGATTTAAATACAACACTATATTCTCCTACATAACATGCATGTATCTCTCACGGAACAAGCAACATTCAGTAACTCCAATTTTGTCTTTGATCTTTTTAAAAAAAATGTATTTTTATTCATTTAGAGAGAGAGAGGAATGGAGGGAGAAAAATAGAAACATTGATGGGAGAGAACAACCACTCGGCTGCCTCCTGCACTCCTCCTACTGGGGATCCAGCTGGCAACGTGGACATGTGCCTGGACCAGGAACTGAACCAGTGACCTCTTGGTGTACGGGTTAACGCTCAACCACTGAGCCACACTGGCCGGGCATCTGTCTTTGATCTTTTAATACTCCACACAGGGTCAACAAACACTATGCCAGGTCTATAATGACTAGATTTTACAGAGGGAGTCTTTTTACTGACCAAGTAATATAAAATTTCTTTATACCATAAAGGTTGGGGATGGGACTTTATTTATTTTTTTGTATTAAATTACAGTGAATACAAATTAGGTCTTCAGATGAATTTTGACATTAAATGTAGATGTAAAACAGTGCGGCTAAAGTAATATTTAGGAAAGTGTATTAGAGTATGAGGTCAAGATAAGAACCATGATTGGTCCCTAAAGATCCCCACTGAGGTCAGTTACCTGCAGGGTTACCTTTCAGTTATCACAGCTCTAAAAAAGAGAAGATTCCATGCAAATTACCATCTCAGTTGCAAAAACAACTTAAAGCACATACCTTGCTAATATGTCAGTAGCTTTCTATAAAAGCTGCTGGATTTCCTTTTAAATTTACTTAAGCCACCATACCCGTGCTACTCTTTTGCTACTACTCCCAGAGTTTTACAGCCAAAAATCATGTCTTCTTCCTTTCTACATTTTGCTAAAAATATTTTATCTTTTCTTTGATAAGAAACAGCATCATCTAGAGAAGTACATTTATAAAACTCTTAGCCATACTGGGAATTGATTCAGAGAAGAGGTCTACAAGAGCAGGCAATCCACCTGTTTACAATGAAGTTCAATCTTCCTGTAGGTCCTTAACTTGTCCTACATAATACCGATAGATACAATAGCCAATGACTTTACAGGGCTTTGAAACATTGTTGACATGCAGTTGTAAATAAATGTAACAATGACACCCCAGGAAATGACTGAGCACACTATCATCTTATCAGCTTCACTAAACAGGCGCTGGGCACTTGTTTATCCTCCTCTTTGTTAAAACTGTCAACACTAAAGAGAAAGACACTTCTTGGAACTTTCTTCTGCATACAAACTTCTCAGTTTGAATATGGCAGCATTTTAGAAAAAGGATTTTTCTTTTTTCTTTATCCTCACCCAAGGACATTTTTCCATGTTTTGTTCAGATAGAGTGGGAGGGAGAGAGAAACATCGACGTGAAAGGGACACATCGAGTGGTTACCTGCACGACCCAACCAGGTCCGGGGACAAACTGCAAACGAGGTATGTGCCCCTAGCAGGAACCAAACCTGGGTCTCTCTGAACCGCAGATCGATGCTCTAACCGCTGAACCAAACCAGCCAGGGCAGAAAAAGGATTTTTAAATTTACCCCAGACTCTCAGGGTAAGAAGACAGTTTAAGAATTACACAGTGCCCTGCCGGTATTGATTTTAGAGAGTGAGGGAGAGGGAGAGATAGAAACATGGATGAGCGAGAACATCGATTGGCTGCCTCCTGCATGCCTCCACTGGAGATTGGGCCCACAAACTGGGCATGTGCCCTAATCAGGAATGGAACCAGCGCCCCCCTTGGTGCATGGGTTGACGCTCAACCAGTGAGACACACCAGCCAGACTATCTCAGTAACTTTTAAAGTGGATTTCATATTGAAATAACATACATATGGGATTATATAAAATATATTAGTAGAAATTAATTTCACCTGTTTCTTTTTTACTTTGTTACTGTGACTAGAAAACTTTAAATGCCATGAGGCTTTCCAAAGGACCTACAGCCTTAATTATAACAGCACACAAGTACTATCATTTGGCATTTCCCAATTATAACTGTCATTTAAAAGCCAAAGGAAAAAGCAATATTTCCCCTTATCTACCAATTATATTGAGATAGCAATAAAAATAACTTAAGAAGAGTGTAAAAATAACTAGCAGAATCACTTTGCACTGACACCATTTGTTAAAAAGATTACCTCTAACAGGCAAAAATAGCACAGGATGTAAAAACCACACCTCTTAAGAAAGTAAGATGTAAATACACAAATGAAGTTCTTCCAATAAAGTAGGTCTAAAAGTTGATTATAAGGTTGTCTTTAAAGTGAAAAGGACATTTCCAGCACCTGGGACTAAGAAACAAAACACCCAAGATTCTGTCTCTTTATTATTCAAACACCTTCAACCACAAACAAGCCATTAACACTATAAAAATGGAAAAAATTATCACAACCTAATTCTCTTTTCCAAAACCCAAAGAAAATAACTACATCAGTTTCTCTAGGGCCAAGCTGGTTACCTTTGGTCCACAAATATCACGAAATAAAAAAGTGTATTTTAAAATAAGTATTTTTAAACCACAGTTTTTAAAAGTACTTTTTGAAGTGAGAAAGTCAACAATAAAATCCTATGCGTGAACCATTTCATCTTCTCCCATAAAACATCATTCTGTTTTGATATAAAAATATGTAGGCCTCCAGGGATCTTGGGGGGCGGGGGATTAACATGTTTCTGAATCTATGAAAATATTTTTTAAGGGGAGAGAGGAATACAGCTCAGTAACGGATAGTATTCAGGTATTCAGAGGATGCAAAAGTTACTTTTAGACAATTGTTAATTGTACAAAAAACAAAAAAAGGAAATTAAGATTAACGAGTCCACAGGGCTTCCATAACAGTTGATTAGATGTTTTCCATGGTGTCCTAACAAATTTATAGTCCAAAAAAGGCCATAGTTGACTGCCGATTATTTATTCATTTGATATTCGACAGCTGAATATAATCTTCAGACTTCTATTTACTAGATGATGCATTCCTTAGATACCTTTTCCATGTGCATTTAAATGACAAGCTCAATTACCCTCTCTATACAGTAAGCAGAAAGGATTGTACATATTTTAAAATAGGGACTAGCTTGGATGCAGTTTCCTTCCCTGGTGGAAAGGGTAATGGGTAAAGCTCTGAGCATAATCCTGAAATACTGAAATCACTCGCAAGGGATCGAGTCCTCTAACATTACCCAGCAGGTAAAAAGACTGCCAAAATTTCCATTAGAGCATCCTATTTTTAGAGTGTTTGGAACTGGTCTTTTAAATTGCATTCCACAGTACAATATGTTTGACTAAGTTTACCCAGGGGACAAAACAAGCATCCTAAGGTCTTAATCTTTTTAAGCTTAGAAAGGAATTTTAAGCGCTTTTAAGTCTTATTTTCCATCTTAACTTTAAATCTTTTCAACACGCAAATTAAAAATCAAGGCAATACTGACCCAGAGGGAGGAAGGGAGAGAAGACACCAGGTGGTTCTTGACAACCCAAGTGCCCGGGGGATGGAAACAGGTATGAAGGAAAATAGAAGAGCCGGGGCCGTGGGCACCAGGGTGAAGGGAACAGAGGCACGGTGGAAGCCGCAGGCTCCTGGGGGAGCCCGGGGAGGGACGACTCCTGCCGCCGGTCCCCTAGGGAGGGAGAAACTGGCGCGATGCGCAGGGAACAGACCCACAGGCGGGAGGAAAGCAGGGGAGCGGAGAGGGGGCGAAGGTGGGGAAACCCGGCTACACCTCACCCAGAGGGCAGAGGCGGCGCAGCCGGAGGAGGACAGCGCAGGGGGAGGAGCGAGGGGTTCCAAGAGGCTCTGCACCCCGGCCGTGAGCAGCCGGTTCCCTGCATCCCGCTCTCCCTCTCCTCACCTGGGAACTGGAGGCGAAAGGAGGGCTACCGCTGAGCTCTGGGGCTGTTTCCAGCCCCACTCGCTGACATGGCGGCCGACGAGCTGTCAGACGGAGCTTGCTCGGGTCTCCCGCCGCTCGGGTGGAGGAGACACCTCTGCCTTCCCGCCCCGCCTCCCTCTGCGCACCCCTCCCGGCTGGGCGGCCCGCGACCGCGGAGCACAGAGCGCGAGCGGCTAGAGAGGAAGCGCAGAGGGCGGACAACCATAGAGTACACAGCCTGGATGGGCCACTCACAGTCTCCAGCGTCGGCACCAGGCCGGAAGCGGAAGTGAGGGAAAAGCTAGGAAGAGAGGTTGTTCGCATGCGTAGTTTGAAGTGTTTGCCTTTGCCCGACCTAGTCAGGTGGTGGGGAGATGTTGCACGTGGGTTCCTTATGAGGAGTTCTCCAACGGTATAATGACTCTGGGTGTCTTTGGGACAGACCCTAGAGTGTAAGGATGTGGGTCCCTGTTGCGGGGCTTCCTCCGCGGCTGGCGCTGTCAGCCTTTTCCGGTGCTGGTCGCTTTTGCATTTTGAGTTCCGGAGCGGCGAGGTGGAAGGACGTCCCGGCGAGGAACCGCCGTGGTTTGTCTGACTTCCAGCCGCAGCTGTTGCCCAGTGAGAGTTTCAGAGATTTGCCCGCATGGGTGTCTAAGGGCCGCTTCGAGTCCAGGCGTTACATAATCAGTCCGAGACTGGCTGAGACCGTGGTGCAGTTCCTGCTGAAACAAGACGATTGCAAGATGGTCTTGGAATTCAATCCAGGTGAGTCCGCCTGGACTGCATTTTCTTGGGTGTTCATCACTTCTGCAAACCTGAATTGACCACCCGTGGGTTGCTGCATAAGACATAGTCCCTTCCTTTAGGTAGCTTATGTGGTCAATATTCATTATGCTGCAAAATATTTCTAATATTTCTGTAGCAGTTTGCACTTCACACAGTATTTTGATAGAACAGGCTCCTAGATTCCACCATCTCCCCAAGATAGTTGCAACCCATCCCCCCCCCCACTTTTATTTTACCCTTCTGTGAATCTCCTATGGACCATTAGCAGGATGCTGGGAACACTAGCTTTATAGACTTAAAAAATAGGAATCAGTTCTATTTAGGATAGTCCACAATGAAATGTAGGCTAGAGGCAACCTCTTTTTGCCTTTCTTTTTTTTTTTTTTTCCCTTGAGATGTGAAACACTGTGATTAGAGCGCAGGTTTGCAGTCTTGACAGAATGGATTCAAAGCCAGGTAGCCCCACTTAGCAGTAGGGAGGTTGGAGTCCAGTGACTATCTAATCCCCAGTTTCCTTATATGTAGGTAAGCATTGTAATATCTACTTTGAGGATGTTGTAAGATTTAAAATTAGATAATACATGTAAAACGACTAATTTTTTTGGTATTGAAAGAAATTGTTTTGAAAATACTTTTTTTGTTCGCTTACTATATTAGGTCCTGGAATCCTGACTCAAGCATTACTTCAAAGGGGTGCCACAGTGATTGCTGTTGAAAGTGACAAAACTTTTATCCCACATTTGGAGGTATATTTTTAGTTTCTAAAAATAATTCGTTCAGTCATCTTCCCTTGCAGTGGTTTAGGGAAGTAAATGTAAGCACACAATTTATTTTTTGTAGACTCACTTTTAGGGGCCATGCGTTAAACATGTTGTCATCCCCAGTGACTAGAACGTAGTATCTATTATTATTGAAAAACTAAAAGATTGGGTTCTGAGACTTGTTTTCTACTCTTAGCTCTACTACAGACTAGTTGGGTGACTTTGAACAAAGTGTATAATTGGTATTTCTCCTCTCAGAAGACTGTGCTCTGCACCTGCTTTCTCTGAGCTTAGAATCTAATTGGAGTACTAAGATCAAATTAATGGGACTGTATTAACTCTGGATTTAGAGACTCAGGGGCAAGAGAGGTTTGGTATGGTCAGATACAATTGCATAGAGTGAAGGGATTATTCAAATGGATTTTTCAGTGAATTTTCTTTGTTATATAGCAAACAAAATTACATAACAGTAAAGTGGAAATTTTTTGCATCATTGTCAGCTGTTTTCTCTTTCCCTCTCTCCTCTATAAATCTTTACATTCATTTTAGGAAACTTATACTTTTCTGTGCCAACTTCCTGAAACCATATAAAATCTAAAAGTGCAGGATGAAAACAAAAAATTGTGAAAATGTCCATTCTGTTTACATTACCATCAAACCAAAATTCATTAGCTTTCCTCAGTTAGAAAGATTAAAATGTGACTTGAATAATTTGTGAGAATATTTTATTACTGTACATATAGTATAATTTGTAAGAGTTTAATCAGTTATTAAGGTATGCATTATATGAATAATCTTTTTCATAACACCACACTCTTCTAGTTTTCTTCCTTCCTTTTTGACTTAATCTCAGTTTCTTGTCCTTGTACTTGTCCCTGGAGACCTCATCTTATATGATTTCCGCCCCAGCTTGTTCCTTCCGCTAGTCTTTTGCAGGGCACCCCCTGAAAGTGATAATTGAAATGTACTAGATTTAGAAATTGAAGAATATTTATAGGTTGAACTGAAATGCTTAAGAAAAATTAGGTTTTTAATTCATAACTTTTAAGTTGCAAATTTGTTGAAACCTTGGTAAATACCAATGGAAGTTTCTGTGCATGAGAACCTAAATATGCATATCAAAGCATATTGCCCTCTTCTAATTGATTTCTTGTAACTTCAAATTAAGTTTATGGGATCTGTATCTAATACCTGCTCTCACTACTAAGTTCTCCTGGCTACTGCAAGGTGAGCAGATCAGGGCAGTAAAAAGATTGAGGTATATTGGGCCTCTTCCAGTGGACAAGGAGTGTTCCTTCTAGAGTTGCCTCTCTCTTTAGAAAAAGTAAATGAAAAATTAAGCGGAAAGTGGACATTGACCTGCATAATGAGCTACGTTCGTTTGGTGAAGGACTAACTAAACTCTTCAAGAAAAAAAGGAATACTCTCTTGAATCATCTACCTTTCACTTTAATATTTTTATTGTTTTTCTGAACTGTGAAACATCTTTGCATGACTAGCAGATGGATAGCAGCTCTCTGTCTAAGATGTGGTCTCAGAATCTTTGTCTGGTGCTCCAGGCAGTCACTACTAAGGAATTAGAGATTAGTGTGAAGGAACTTTTCAGACAGTTAATAATACAGCTGAGATAAAGTAAAGAAAGTAAAATGATAAGTAAGATTTTGCTGAAAGTGATTTGCGGGGATGAGGCGGGGGTCTTGTACTTTCATTATTTTGCAGACATTAATTGATTTGTATTAACTGTTAAATTTTAGGGTATATTAGTAATGTATTTTTTACATCATTATTGAGATGGTAATATTTATTATAAGAATTGTGTTTTTTTTTTTAAGTAGATCTTTGTATTGTTACAAGCACTTTCATAACACTGAAATTTCTTAACATTTTATCTCTCTTTCTCTTTAGTCTCTAGGAAAAAAGCTGGGTGGAAAACTCCATGTGCTCCACTGTGATTTCTTTAAACTGGATCCTAGAAGTTATGGGGTAATGAAACCTATTGTGAATTCAAAGTTGCTTTTTCAGGATTTTGGAATAAAAACACTTCCTTGGTCAAAAGGTAATTTTTGTAATTTACTATAATGGGCCTGCCTTCTCTAGCAGTGCTCCTGGTTTGTTGATGAGATTTATGTGTAATTTATATTATATAAGTTATGGGCATATGCTCTTAAGTTGATTATTGCTTTCCCCGCACCTGGATACAAGTAGTCTGAGCAGTTTTGCTGAGGCCAAGTTCCATAACGGAAACATATTGAGGAATTAGTATAGTTGGTTAACTTAGCTTGACTCAATAAAATATGGTCACAGGAAAAAGTGTTAAGAATTTATTCAATTATTTTTGCTTGTGTTCTTAATAGGTATCCCTTTAAAAGTAGTTGGAATCTTCCCAACTAAAAATGAGAAAAAGATGATTTGGAAGCTTTTACATGACATATATTCCTGTACTTCTCTATATAGATATGGACGAGTAGAACTCAATTTGTTTATTAATGAAATGGACTGCCAGGTAGGTTATTAACTAGTACTTGACTAGTATTGTGTCTTGAAAGAGTTCTGTGATTTTTCTGTAGTCTTAATCTGTATGATTTTAATTTGGGCTCATGACATAAAATTTACCATTTTAACTATTTTTAAGTGTACAGTTCAGTGGCAGTAAGTACATTTACATTTATGGTACAACTGTTACCACCGTCTATGTCTTCTCAGAACTTGTTCCTCATTCCATACTGGAATTCTGTACCCATTAAACACTAACTCCACATTTTTCCCTCCTATGAGCCCCAACTATCATTCTACATTCTGTCTATATAAATTTGACTATTCTAGGTACCTCACATAAGTGGAATTATACAATATTTTACTTTGTGTCTGGCTTATTTCACTTAGCATTTCTTTAGGGTTTATTCAAATTGTAGCATGTGTCGGAATTTCATTCCTTTTTAAGGCTGCATAATAATATTCCATTGTATATATACACTACCTTTTGTTCATCCATTCTTCTGTCAATGACCCTTTGGTTGCTTTCACTTTTTGGTTATTTGAATAATGCTGCTATGAACATTGGTGTGCAAATATATCTTGGAGTCTCTGTTTTCAGTTAGTATGGGAAACTAAAGTGAAATTTCTGTATCATATGCTAATTCTATTTTTAATTTTTTGAGGAACCACCATACTGTTTTCCATAATGACTACCCTATTTTATATTCTTACCAGCAATGCACAAGAGTTCCAGTTTCTCCACGTTTTCTCCAGTGCTTGTTGTTTTATATTTATTTTTCTTTATTGATTTGAGAGAGAGAGAGAGAGAGAGAGAAACATTGATGAGAGAGAACATCGATTGGCCGCCACTTGCATTCCCCCACCTGGGGATTTGGCTCGTGTGCCTTGACTGGGAATCGAACTGGCGGCTTCTTGGTGCATGCGTCGATGTTCAACCACTGAGCCACACTGGCTGGGCTTTTATTGTTGTTTTAATAAATAATACCCATTATGATGGTTTAAAGTGCTATCTCATTGTGGTTTTGAATTTCCATTTTCCTAAATGATTAGTAAAGATGAACATCTTTTATGTGGTTACAGATCATTTGTGTATCTTCTTTGGAGAAATTGAGTTGTCCATTTTTGTTTTGTTTTGTACATTCTTGATGTTAATTTCTTCTCAGGTATGCAATTTGCATATATTTTCTCCCCTTTTATGGTTTACCATTTTACATTGTTATGGTATCCTTTAAGTCCCAAAGTTTTTAATTTTAGTAATGTGCAATTTTTGTTTTGTTTTGTTGCCTGTGCCTTGGTCTCATATATCAGATATCATGGCCAAATTCAATGTCTTGAAGCTTTTCCCCTGTGTTTCCTTCTAAGAGTTATATTGTTTTAGCTCGTATGTTCAGGTTTCTGATACATTTTGAATTACTTTTTTTATATGATGTTAGGTAAGGGTCCAGCTTCATTCTTTTGCATATAGATATGCAGGTTTCCCAGCACTTTTATTGAAAGACTATCCTCTCCCCATTGTCACCTGTGTTGAAAACTCACTTGATGATATACATGAGGGTCTATTTATGAACTCTATTTTATTCCATTGTTCTATGTTTCTCTTTATGCTAGTACCACACTTTTTATTTTTAGATTTTTAAAATTGATTTTTATCCTCACCCGAGGATTTTTCCATTTTTTGTACAGATAGAGTGGGAGGGAGAGAGAGAGAGAAACATCGACGTGAAGGGACACATCGAGTGGTTGCCACCCACACGACCAACCAGGGCCGGGGACAAACTGCAACCGAAGTACGTGCCCTTAGCGGGAACCGAACCCGGGTCTCTCCGGACCGCAGGCTGACGCTCTAACCGCTGAGCCAAACTGGCCAGGGCTTAAAATTGATTTTTAGAGAAGAGGGGGAGAAAGAGAGGGAGAGAGAGAGAAACATCAATGTGAGAGCTAAACATCGTCTGCCTCCTAAACACCCCCACCTGGGATGGAGCCTGCAACCTGGCATATTCCCCGACTGAAAATTGAACTGGCAACCCTGTGGTGCATGGGGCAATGCCCAACTGATTCACACCAGCCAGGGCAGTACCACAAAATACTACTGAAACTTTGTAGTAAGTTTTGAAATCAGGAATTATAAGTCCTCTAATTTTGTTCTTTTTAATGATTGTTTAGTTTATTTGGTGTGTCTGGAGATTCCATATAAATTTTATGGTGAATTTTTTATTTCTGCAAAAACATATCTTTGGGATTTTGATAGGGATTACATTCAATTTGTTTCTCACTCGGGTAGTATTGACTCCTTAACAATAGAAGTCTTTTGGTCCATGAACACAGGATGTCTTTTCATTTATTTATATTTCCCTTATTTTCTTTCAGCAGTGTTTTGTAGTTTTCAGTGTAAGTGGAATTGTTTTAATTTTCTTTTCAGATTATTCATTGTTAGTGTATAAAAATACAACTGATTTTTGTGTGTTTTGTATTCTGCAACTTTGCCGAATTCCTTTATTCTAATAGTTTTTGTGTGTGGAACTTTTAGGGTTTTAGACTCTATAGATGCTCATTTATATATAACAGAGCTATGGATTAGAATAGTGAGTCAGAAAATGAAGGGATGATTTATTCACTAAGACCCAGGTAGTAAGTAAATAGTGACTGTCTGTGAAGGGGGAGCAGAAGTCTCAGAACCTTGAAGCTGTACATACAGTAAATACTTGAAAGAATGAAAGGAAGAGAAATAGGAAATGTTTTATCAGGTTTCATCTTGCTGCTAGAGAAATGTTCTCAAGCTTCTTTACCATGTCTCTTGCACGTGTGCTTTGTTCTTTCTGAGGTGCCCTCGCATTCACTGAAGTAACCTGCTGTCTTTCAAGTGTCAGTCTAAACAATTCTTGACTCAAAATTTAATAGCCCACTTTATGCATATTTCTAACACAACTGTCTTTCTCCACAGTAATTACACACTTTTTGTTTCATTTTTTTCTTTAATGAGATTTTTGCCCTGATGGGTAATACATGGTTAAAGGAAATCAATCTCTTAATATGTTCTATTTCTTTTTTTTTATCCTCACCTGAGGACTTTTTTTTTTGCATTTATCTTCAGATAGAGCGGGAGGGAGAAAGGGAGGAAGAGAGAGAAACATTGATGTGCAAGAGACACGCCGACTGGTTGCCACCCACACGACCCCAACTGGGGCTGGGGACAAACTGCAACCAAGGTACATGCCCTTAGAGGGAACCGAGCCTGGGACTCTCTGGTCCACGGGCCGACAATCTAACTGCTGAGCCAAACTGGCGAGGGCTCCAATATGTTCTATTTTAAGTGTACTTGATGATATTTCATTACTCATAAGTTTAAGGCATGTACTTGATGATATTTCAGTATGAAAGTTTAAAAGCACTTTCTCTTCTTTGAAAGGTTTACAGTTAAGATTTTGCATTTAATTCTAATTTTCTTTAATTTCCAGAGACCATTAAGATATTACTATTAAGACAACGTTTGGTTTTGATTGATTATAGTTTTGTATACCAAGTACCTTTTATTTACCTCCTCCTAGAAGATAATGGCAAATCCCCAGAATCCAAACCTGTACCATGCATTAAGTGTGCTCTGGCAAGTAGCGTGTGAGATTAAGCTTCTGCATGTGGTGAGTAAAACCTTGTTAAGTTTCAACAGGGAACTTGATTCTTTTTAGAGAGTGTACATTTCAGGGTCCAGTGAATGGAGATAAACTCAAGATTAATTTTATTACTTTTTCCAACTGTGGAATATAATAGAGCCAGGTAACTTTGTGCTGCTGTTTTTGTCACAAATATTTATGTTTTTCTCTGATAATAAAAATAATATATGTTCATTATAAAAATGTAAGACATGTAAAAGAAAGAAAGAAAAGAAATAAAAAATCACTAAAGCCCGGCCGTTGTGGCTCAGTGGTTGAACGTCTACCAATGCACCAAGGGGTTGCCAGTTCGATTCCTGGTCAGGGCACATGCCCATGTTGTGGGCCCGACCCCCAGTGGGGGGCATGCAGGAGGCGGCCAATTGATGTTTTCTCTCATCGATGTTTCTGTGTCTCTCTAAAATCAATAAGGAAAAAAAGCTGCTACAATTCTACCACCCAGAGGTCACTATTGACATTGTGGCATATTTTCAGTCTTTTTTTTTTTTTCCTATGATTTTTTTTCTTTATATAGTGAAGATTGTATTTTTAGAGAGAGTGAAAGGAGGGGTAGTGGATGGGGAGAGAGGGAGTGGGAGAGAGAGAAAAATTGATGTGACCGAGACACTTTGATTGCTTGTCTCCCGCACATATCCTGACTAGGGTGGGGTCAAACCTGCAACCCAGGTACGTGCCATTGACCAGGAATCGTGTCCATGACCCCTCAGTGCAAAGGCCAGTGCTCTAACTACTGAGCCACACTGGCTAGGGCAGGCAAGATTGTTAATTTTTAATTTTAATTTTTGAAGGCAGTGATAATTTGGGGCACTTTCACAATTTGAAGAGCACTAAAATAAGTGTTTTTGTTTAACTTCTCTCAAGGAGCCTTGTTCATCATTTGACATACATACCCAAAGTGGGCAACTGGAAAAGCCAGAGTGGAGGGTAAGAATGAATGAATACCTTTCCTTTTTTCCCTCTAAGTGGAACATCCTTTGTTTTCTTTAAGATTATCTGGTACTGGCCCTGTGTGCAGAAGGAAGCAATCAATGTTTCTATCTCTATCTCCTTTTATCTTTCTCTCTAAAAATCAATAAAAAACATATTTGAAAAAAAAAGAAAGATTAGCGCTTGCTGGTTTAATTCAGCGGTTAGAGTGTTGGCCCTCCAATCAAAGAGTCGCGGGTTCGATTCCAGTCAAAGGCACATACCTCAATTGCAGTTCATCCCAGCCCTGGTTGGGGTCGTGCAGGAGGCAACCAGTCGATGTGTTCCTCTCACATCAGTGGTTCTCTCTCCCTCTCTCTCCTTTCTCCTCGTCTCTCCCTCCCTCCTACTTTATCTGAAGGTAAATAGAAAAATATCCTCTGGTGAGGATTAAAAAAAAAGATTACCTGGTATTGTGTATTTATATAAAAAGTTTTGATTTTAGAGAGAGAGAAAGGGAGAGGGAGAGAAGGATAGAAATATTAATGAGAGGGAAACATCAATCAGCTGCCTTCTGCACTTCCCCTACTGGGGATGGATCCTGAAACCTGGGCATGTGCCCTGATTAGGAATTGAACCAGTGACCTCTTGGTACATGGGTCAGTGCTCAACCACTGACCACACTGGCCAGGCATATTTATTTAAATTTTTAACTTTAGAATATCTAGAATTGTTCTTTAAACATACCTTATTGCTTTTAATAAATACAAATTATTTTGGAAGAGAATTGTATTTTTCAGCTATTTATACAGAGGATGCCAGCATAGTAATAGACTTAAACAGAATCTGACTTCCATTTTTATCTCTTTTGAAATGAAGATACAGCTCAAATTTGGAAAACGTAATCATTTTACTATTCATCTAATTTTGTAAGTTAAAAACAAGATTTTAAACCTTATTAATTATTTAGACATTTTTAATATTGCTACTTATAATGGTTGAATTTAACAATAGGTGCCTTTGTTTCTACCTAAGAGGCGGGGCTTTTATTTTTGTTTTTTTCCCATTTTTAAAGAACCAAGTGATGATGTTATAAAGCGATCCCCCATTTAGTTTATTTCAGAGTACTTGTAGTGAAATTGTAATAAAGTCGCTGAAGTTTCAGAAACAATCTTTGAAGTCAGAAAATTCCACGTTAGGATTAAATGCCAGTGATGCCCTAATCCCAGCATACCAATTCAGCCTGAAATTCCCATTTGCTGAATCTTTGTTATTTTGTCACTCTTGCCACTAAAGGAAAAAAAGAAAATTATCAATTTAAAAATGGTCTGATTTTCAAGTGATCGATCCTTATAGTGATCATTGTGATTTTAGTTCTCTTTCACTTTATTTTTTTTAATTATTTTATTTTATTAAAACATTTTTTTTTCTTTATTGATTTTAGAGAAAGGAAGTGGGAGAGAGAGAGAGAGAGAGAGAAAGAAAGAGAGAGAAACATGGATGAGAGAGAACACTGATTGGCCGCCTCTTGCATGCCCTCCATTGGGGAATTAGCCACGGCCTGGCCATGTGCCCGGACCAGGAATGGAACTGGCCACCTCTTGGTGCATGGGTCAATGCTTAACCACTGAGCCACACTGGCTGGGCTTTTTTCTCTCTCTTTATTTCCTCTTTCCCCCCTTTTGCTCTTTAGCCAGCAGTTCTCTTTCACTCTTTTTTTTTTTTAATACGGTTTTGATTTTTTTTAGGGAGAGAGAAATAGAAACATCAACGTGAGAGGGAAACATCGATCGGCTGCCTCCTGGTGTGCCATGACCAGGACTCAAACTGGGACCTCTCAGTCCATGGAACAATGCTTAGTCCACTGAGCCACACCAACCAGGCTACCAGGTTGCTTTAAAAAAATTTTTTTTTCTTTATTGTTTTTAGAGAGAGAAGAAGGGAGAAGGAGAGAGAGAAACATTGATGAGAGAGAATATTGATTGGCTGCCTCCTGCATGCGCCCCACTGGGGATAGGGCCCACAGCCTGGGCATGTGCCCTGACCCGGAATCAAACCGGGGACCTCTTGGTGCATGGGTCGATGCTCAACCACTGAGCCACACCAGCGCGGCCCTGGTTGCTTTTGAAAGTCATCTTCAAAAGACTTGTTAACAACAACATATAATACTTTGAATTGTGTTATCCCTTTTCCTAATTAATAATTACTGAATATTTTTGAATTTCATTGCCTTTCTTTTTACCAATTCCTTAAGCTGCAGCCATCCAAAATTAGAAGCTAGAATTGATTATAATTTTTTTTTTTTAATCCTTACCCGAGGACATTTTTCCATTTTTTGTTCAGATAGAGTGGGAGGGAGAGAGAGGAAGAGAGAGAGAGAGAGAGAGAGAGAGAGAGAGAGAGAGAAATATCAACGTGAAAGGGACACTTCGAGTGGTTGCCACCTGCAGAGAGAGAGAGAGAGAGAGAGAGAGAGAAATATCAACGTGAAAGGGACACTTCGAGTGGTTGCCACCTGCATGACCCATCCAGGGCCGGGGATAAACTGCAACCGAGGTACGCACCCTTAGCGGGAACCGAATCCAGGTCTCTCTGGACCACAGGCTGACGCTCTAACCGCTGAGCCAAACCGGCCAGGGCGATTATAATTTTTTGGGGGAGTTAATATGTCTTCCACAGATAGGATTTATGCTTAAATATATATGATATAATGTATATTTTGAACTATTAAATATTTAAATATATAAAATAAAGTAAGTGATCACTACCTAATATGTGAGAATTCCTAAAGAAACATAAGGCTTCCTCTTTTCTGAGGAATAATTTTAGGGGGAAAAGTGTCTTAAACTTACATCAAGTCATACAGTTTTCATTTTAATCTGTGTAATGTTGTATACTGGAGCAGGTTGGCCAACTTTTTCTGTAAATGATCAGTTGTCAGATATTTTATGCTTTCAGGCCACATACAGTCTCTATCATGTGTTCTTTGGTTTTTGTTTTTTTTTAAAACACTCCTTTACAAATGTGAAAACCATTCTTAGCTCCAGAGGCAGGCTGTGGACCATGGCTTGCTAACCCTATATTTTTATTCTTAGGATCTGGTGTTTTGCTTCAAATACAGAAGAGACGCACTACATGTTAGTGCCATGTTTGGGAATTGGTTTTACCCTGTTTACAAGTTAATAAACTGTTACTCTTATGGATGGTGGTGAAAGATATAGACTCCTGGACCAGACAAAGGATGTTATTTGCCCCCAGGTCCCACAGAGTGTATGATGGGGCACATTTGGATGGTGTGCATGCAGAGGGTTTGCATAGCAACTGAGGAACAACACAGAGTTGGGGGTCCCACCCCTTTTATAGCAAACATGAAGCAAGCCTGCTTTTTGTCCTGGAGAGAGAGATTATCTCATCCCTCCTGGTGGCTCACAGCAGACAACCCTGAGAAATGGCCTAGGTAAAGAGCAGTTAGGGCCTTGCATTCTTGGCATAGCTGATAAGAACATACAGGTACATCCAGGGTCTCTAAGGCTTGCTTTTTCACCGGGTAACTTGAATGAATAAATGAACAATGTCTCGCTCTGGCAATATGTTATGACTAACAATTTATTTTCCCTCCTCTCCAGGAATCATCAGAACAACAAAGACAACAGAACCTGTGTTTTATTCAACTGACTCCTCGTAGAAATTTATTTACAAAAAATTTAACACCTGTTAACTATGATGTGTTTTTTCACATGTTAAAGCAGTGTTTTATGAAGCGCAATGCCAAGTTAATAGACCACTTAAAGTAAGTAAGAATAAAAGCAAGTATAAAAGTAGCGATTTAATATGAGAATTATACTTTCATATTAGAGTCCAATTTTTATATCTTGCATATCTTTGAAGTGTTTCTTCAAGATACTTCTTTTTGCCTGGTGTACTTTTGAGAAAAGTATAATTATATTTTCCACATAATCTCCTGAGCTTAATTTTTTTTTCTTTGATAAAACAGCTGTGGATACCTACAATTTTATTATCTTTGTCAGAGTAAACCCCGTGATTAACCTTCATGAAGAACTAGCTGCTTGCCACTAGCTAGGGTGGAGAAAGTTGGGATTATTGATGGCATACCCATCATCTACCCTTTTTTTTAATCCTCACACAAGGACATTTTTGCATTTATCTTCAGATAGAGCGGGAGGGCGAGAGGAAGAGAAAGAGAGAAACACTGATGTAAGAGAGACATTGAGTGGTTGCCACCCACATGACCCCAACCGGGGCTGGGGACAAAATGCGACTGAGGTACGTGCCCTTAGTGGAAACCGAACCCGGGACTCTCTGGTCCGCGGGCTGATGCTCTGACTGCTGAGCCAAACTGACAAGGGCCCACCATCTACCTTGTCATTGCCTGTCATTGGTTCTATTTCCTAACCAAAATAGAAGTGGATCATTGTACCACCCTAATTTTCCTACCCTGGACCAAAATTTTGTTTCTACTGTTAAAAATGATGACTGTTACTACCTACTTTTTATCTACACGAATATAATTTTTATATAGGGCTGATGTGTACAGTTTTTTGAGTTATGCATTATACCTTATAATCAGCAGCCTATATTTATTTAAAGTATTGTCAGAGGTTGAGCAAAATGTTACTAATCATTTAAATTAATTTGAGCATGCCCTGCCTAGTTGTGCTGGAGGCAATCAATCCATGTGTCTCTCTCACGTCGGTGCTTCTCTTTCTCTCCCCTCCCCATCTCCATCCCACTCTATCTGAAAGGTCTGTAGAAAAGTATCCTCTCTGGCCCTGGCCAGTTTGGCTCAGTGGTTGAGCGTCAGCCTGCGGACCAGAGAGTCCCGGGTTCGGTTGGCGCTAGGGGCACGTACCAGCAAAAAAAAAAGTATCCTCTCTGCCTAGCCAGTGTGGCTTACTGGTTGAACGCTGATCCATGCACCAAGAGGTCGCTAGTTTGATTCCAGGTCAGGGCACATCCCCAGGTAGTGGTCTTGATCCCCAGTGGGGGGCATGCAGGAGGCGCCCAGTCAGATGTTCTCTCTCATTGATGTTTCTGTCTCTCTCTCCCTCTCCTTCTCTCTCTCTCTGTAATATCAATAAAGAAAATAAAATTTAAAGAAAAATATCCTTGGGTGTTGATTAAAAAAAAGAAAAGTATCCTCTGGTGAGGGTTGAAAAAAAATTAATTTGATCACAAGTACAAAAAAGTTTAATTTGATCATCGTTAAATATATAACTGAATGAGTTGTTGGTTGAACACAATTTGTGTAAAAAAAATATGTTAAAAGTGGCAATAGACCAGTACAATATTTTATCTTGTCTCCTTGTGGTAGTGGTTGTTTTGAGTGAAACTATCAAAAATATAGGAAATTAAGGAATAAATATGGTAAACTGTGGTGCACTATGTTAAAAATTCCCTTTGAGATCTCCGTAAATTGAAAGCATATTTCCATCTGTGATGAGGATTCCATTCAAAATCAAAATGCAGTGGAAGTATTTTCTTGCAAGTGTTTACTTGTTATTGTCAGAGGCTCATTGATGGGTTCTTTTTTTTTTTTTTTAATATTTTTAAAAAATTGATTTTAGAGAGAGAGGAAGGGAGAGGAAGATAGAGATAGAAACATCAATTGGCTGCCTCCTGCACGATCCCTACTGGGGATGAAGCCTGCCACCCGGGCATGTGCCCTGACCAGGAATCAAATTGGTGACCTGGTGCATGGGATGATGCTCAACCAACTGAACCAACCTGCCGGGTTCACTGATGGTTTCTTGATAGGCTACTACATAGGCAGTTTTCTGCTTTATAATTTATTCACTGGTAATTGTTAGATTAAAATGTGAAGGATTATTTCTTTGAAAACTGCCAGACAGCAGTTTCTGTTGTTTAAACTTACTGAACTTTTATATGAACCTAAATGGAGTTAAGAATATTTTTGCAAAGAGAGTTAAAAGATGAAAGAGGTAGACAAGAATTTTTTAAAGGGCAATGTTAAACTAGAATTTTGTGTAGGAATTGATTAGAACCTGTTAACACGTACATCTTTTCTTTTAATTACAGGTAAGCCATGAAACTTTATGAATAAACCTAGTTAAAGCTACATATTATATACAAGCTCTTAAACTAAATAAGATTAGTTAACTATATTAAGTTAGGCATTTTAAATAGGGCTTAAAAGCCACCTCTATCAATATTAACTGACAGTTGTTATAAAAAAGGATTTAACAAATTTACTTAGAATTTTTTTTTTTTTTGCAGTTCATTGAGTCCAATTGATGCAATGGATATACTGAAGAAAATAAAACAAAAGAAAACAACAAAAATAACAAAAATGTATCCTGAAGACTTTAAACACCTTTTTGAAACTATAGAATGTTCCCAAAATTATACCTGTAAGTGGCTGTATGATGACTTCATGGAAGAAGTGGTCATATAGGGATATGGACTGCCACAACAGTAGCTGGAACTGTTTATTTTATTTAGAAATTATGACACAAATGAAAAAACAAAGTTGAAAAGCTCGCATTCTCTCAACAGAAGGTAACTGTCCTTGTTTTGCACAGACAAGACAGATAATTTCTTCTGAGGTTGATACCATTAGTACATTGGATAAAACAGTGGCTGCTATTTTATTCACAACCGAATAAAATTAAAACTTCACTTAATTCTGGATTTGGTCAGCTTAGATTTATTTTAAATTCCTATCTACTATTAACGTAATGGTAGTTGTATGGAATTACTGGATGAATTTTACTTTTTAAAACCCTTTTAGCCAAATGCTTACATTGTATTAATGTAAATATTCCACTTTCACTTAATTTTTGCATCCTCCAGTGGGGCAAAGGATGTACATTTCTAAGCTTAGAAAGTAAATAAAACTGATGTAAGTGGTTTGTTTTACTTTTCAGTTTGTGGAAAGTATTAACAGATACTGTGCAATTAAATTAAATTTTTAAATGGTTTAAATGTTTTTAGAAATTAAAATATTTTAAATAAGATTTTGTGATTTTTTTTTTTGATCTTTAATGAACCATAAAATTGACCCTAACTTACTCACTTTAAATTCTGTCATGTATAGTCATTTGTACATTCAGTGAATAATTCAGTCTATTATTCAAAAGTCTTGCATTTTTGTTCCATCAAGAAAATTTATCTGAAGTTAGACCTTTACATGAACCTAGATGAAATTAAGAATATTTTCTTAGATCATTGAAGAAGCTTCTGCATTTTAGGTGAAACATATCTAATCTTCTGAACTAGATTTGTTTGCTATTATAACACTTTGTAATGCCCAAGGAATATTAGTAAGTAACTCTTTGTAGGGTGTGTTCTTAACATTTAGCCACAGCAGTTCTTCCCAACCTCCCTACTGTTGTCATTGCTTTACAAATCAGTCTGGCTGGAAACGAAATCCTCTTTTAAAATTCCTATCCTGCCTTACATAATCTGCCTCATCTTCATAATGTCATTCAGTCTTCCTTCTCACTGTTTCTTTCTTAGTCTTGTGCTTTAAGCCTATATTTCTGTTACTAGGTTACAAGAATGTCAGCTGAGAAACATTTTAAGTATAGTTCAGAGGGATTAATGGATGGTTTTTTTTAGGAAAGGGAATGGGGTCCAAAAACCAGAGAAGCATTTTGCTCTTAGCCTAGATAAAAAGAGTTGAGTGTGGATTATAATATAAATAATGCAAGGGTCAAAAGATGAATGCCTTACAAGTGGTATATGCCCTGAGAGATACAGACTGTCACTTCAAACAAAATGGAAGAGGGGACTTAAGAATGACAGATTTGTTAACTGCTGTGGGAGTTAAGGGAGAAAGGGAGTTAATGTAGAGGGTCTAGCTAAGGATGGAAACCAAATTTATAGTGGTATTCTATACTACTGTGTCATTTTAGGACTGGAGTAAGGAAGAGTATGGATGATTAGATAAATAAAAGTTGTGTATTAAGGAGATTAGCCTTTGGGTCTGCACGTGAGTAATTTCCATTACTTGCACAATGAGAAAGTAGTCTGATATCCAACATGTTTCAAATGCGATGGATGCTGCCTTAAGGCAGTGAGTGGGAGCATAGTTGACTGATGTCTCCAGCTTCTTGAATCTACCCGTGCTTATGCCAAGGCTACACTTCCTACAGGCTGTTCCCAGGCAATGACTAAACATGGTGGAGGTACTAAGGCAGGCCCTAACAGTGCCATGTAAGAAAAAGTTAATCTTGTAGTGGACCTAATTTCAAGTTCCATGCCAAATAGTAACTAGCAAACAGTTTCTAGGTATGTGGTCTGAAGGTAAAAAAAAAAAAAAGCCTCTCTGGTGACACATAAAACTCCAATGTGCAGTTTGGCTCAAGGATTCACTGTTGGACTGGCTGAACCTTTCTTGGAATTTTGCTGTGGTCCAGGATTTCCTATCCAATCAAAATTCTCTCTTCCCATAGAGTCAGACCTGCAATCGCAGCCTGAAATCATGCCTTCTGCTCCTTTCTCTAAAAACCTTTTACATGTCTAATCTTGTCTTAGCATCTGCTTCTCTGAGGACATAAACTAACACAGGAGTCAAGGAATGTGAAAGTAACTGGAAGAAAATGGTTGAAATAATGAAGCAAGTGTTAGAAAGCCAGTTTGACGTCATTTAGACTGATATTAAGATACCAGAAGTGCAGTGATTCCTGGTGATGACAAGGTGCAGGTCTGGTACCAAGCAATTCAGGGCTAAGCATTTACAAAAATAGTTTGCCAAAGGGCCTTTTATTTTTGCTGGTGGCTGATATGGTCATTTCGAACCTCCCAAAACCTGATGAGCTTAGCAGAATGTTCAAATGAAATACTGGGAACATGGCCGCATGTCTGAACAAAAAGTTTTCACTAGAAGAGAGACGTAGCTGCCCATACAATTAGCTCTAGGTAAGATTATGGTGACTAAAGATGGCTAGGAGAATGAAGACCTTGAATTAGTACAAGAGACTCTGTGGTACTTAAGGGTCTTTGTGTTTTTGAAATATTGATAACTTTCCAATAAGAAAACACTGTAGATGTTTTCCTCTAGAATTTATAAGAATGTAGTCTGCCCTGCCAGTTTGGCTCAGCTGTTGGAGTGTTGGCCTGCGGACCAGAGAGTCCCCTGTTCACTTCCCGCTAGGGGCACGTACAAAAAAAGAAGAATGCAGTCTGTAAATTCAGAAGCTGATTGATACCAAAACAGGCCTGCTCTATCTGAATAGGATAAAAAAAAGTTCTGTGTTATGGAATATTACCATTTGTTATTTGTTGTTTCATCACTAAATTACTGAATGGCATTTAGCTTGTGCAAAATGAAAAGGATTTCATTATGTGGCTTTACCTGTGATATTCTATAATTATCTGACAATATATTATCAAAAGTGCATCTCCTATAGGGAGGAAAATTTCTCCTTTGCCCACCATATAGGCAAAATCTGGAGAATGAAGTCAAGACAAGAGAAAGCAGAACTAACACAAGAAGTAGGCAGACAGCATAGCATTCTGATAACATCTGAGCCCCTGGCTCCAACTACCTGAAGCCATATACATGTCCAAAACCAAGTTAGTGCCTGAAGCCAGTCAATTTCCTTTTTTTTGGTTAAACTAGTTTCTGATGGAATTCTATCACTTTCAACCAACAATCCTAATATAAATAAAATACTGTCTTAATGGTACTCATCAATAGCTTCCCATTCTTGCATCACCACAGGGGCTCTTCTGAATCTAACTACTAAGAATTAGCACATTCATTCCTGAAGTGATGACTGTGGTTAGTGACCTCCAAGCCACAAACCTGGACCTTTGAATTAATAAAGAAAGGTCTTTATTTGTACCATTCTAAGGCTTGAAATAGCAATTCTAGTTACCTGATGAAACATATAATAGACTTTTAAAATAATAGAGTAATTCTTGATTAAATTTCATTTGGTTTATTACTAAAACTGCTGGGTAATTCTATATTAAACATTTATAGCTACTATTTAATTTACTTCTTTCTAATAAAATAGCGTGTTAAACTTTCAATTAGGGTTTATGGGGAATTGAGCACAACATTCTATGTTCTTCATGGTTCTAATCTGTTCATTAAAAGCAAAGTTATAAAAGTAATGGAACAAATAGGGCGAGAAAACATTGATTTTTGTGTATTTTTACAATTCAATTTAGATTCCTGGTGAAATCTAAACTAACGCCAATTAGTAAAGATTTTCATTGGAAATGTCAAACCTTCACCAAAACTTGGAGGAAGATGGTCAGTTTCAGGATCCTATCCAGGATTTCTATATTATTTATGGTATAGAAACCTCTAATCCATGTGTCATGAATTCTCATAATATCCTCCAGTTCTCGTAAAAATATATGTTTTCTACTGTTTTCATACAAAAGAAACCTCCCCAAAATTGGCTGAGTGCAAGATAGGACAGAGAGCCTAGGGCTTCTGGGCTTGTTTCTATAATAAATCTAAATGGTAATGTGGTCCCTCCCAGGCAATTTAAAAAAATGGTAAGTCAGTCATCTTTACAGCTTCTGAGTGGTCTTTGTATAGGAAATCTGGAACCTGGTGCTTGCGATTTATCATTTAAGAATTCTGGAAAGCAGGACTGCCCACTTTACAATAGTTAAATGAATTTGTATTAAGAAAACCTTCAATTCTCTGTTAAGTACTTAATGTGATCCTTATTATAGGGAGTACTGTATTATTATGCAATTGTTCATTCCTTTGGTAAGAACATATCCAAGTTTTGTGGGCCTCAGGCTTATACAACTTTAGGGAGCCCTCCTTTTAAAATTGCGGGGACACACACACACACACATACACAGTTGACCCTTAAACAATGTTGGGGTTAGGAGCAGAGATACCCCACCCACCCCAGCAGTCAAAAATCCAAATATAACTTTTGATGCTACAGTCCACCCTTTGTATCCATGGATTCAAACAACTGAAGATTGGAAACAATATTTTCAATCTCTGGTTGGGAATCTGAAAATACTATTTTTATCTCTGGTTGGTTTAATCCATGGGTGCAAAACCTGCAGATACAAAGGGCCAACTGTATTTTTAAAAATCTGTGTATAGTGCCCTGGCCGGTTTGGCTCAGCGGTTAGAGTGTCGGCCTGCGGTACAGAGAGACCCGGGTTCGGTTCCCGCTAAGGGCACGTACTTCGGTTGCAGTTTGTCCCTGGCCCTGGTTGGTTGTGCAGGTGGCAGCCACTCGATGTGTCCCTTCACATCGATGTTTCTCTCTCTCTTCCTCTCTCTCCCTCCCACTCTATCTGTACAAAAAATGGAAAAATGTCCTCAGGTGAGGATAAAAAAAAAAAAAATCTGTGTATAGTGAAATAAGTCAGAGAAAGACAAACACCATATGATTTCACTTATATGTGGAATCTAAAGAACAATATAAATGAACAAATGAAACAGAAACAGACTGATAATTGAATTAATAAAGAAAGAGAACATACTGATGTTTGCTAGAAGGGAGGGAGGGTTGGGGGATTGGGTGAAAAAGGTGAAGGGATTGAAAAGTACAGATTGGCAGTTACAAAACAGGCATGGGGCTGGTGTGGCTCCGGGCCTGGCTGGTATGGCTCAGGGCTTGGCTGGTATGGCTCAATGGTCGAACATCGACCCACGCACTAAGAGTTTGCCAGTTCAATTCCTGGTCAGGGCACATGCCCAGGTTGTGGGCCAGATCCCCAGTGGGGAGCATGCAGGAGGCAGCTAATCAATGTTCTCTCTCATTGATGTTTCTCTCTCTCTCTCCCTCTCCCTTCCTCTCTAAAATCAATAAAGAAAAAAATTAAAAACAAAATAGTCATTGGGTTGTAATACACAGCATAGGAAATATAGTCAATAATGCAGTAACTATGTATGGGTGCTAGTTGGTACAGGAAAAATCAGGGGGAACACTGTAAAGTATGTGATTGTCTAACCACTGTGGTATACATCTGAAACAATTACAAAATAATATTGAATGTAAACTGTAATAGAAAGAATTTAAAAAAAAATTTCTTTATTGATTTTACAGAGAGGAAAGGAGAGAGAGAGAAACATCGATGAAAAAGAACATTGGCCACCTCCTGCATGCCCTCCACTGGGGACCTGGCCCACAACCTGGGCATGTGTACTGACCAGGAATAGAACCAACAACCTCCTGGTGCATGGGTCAACGCTCAACCACTGAGCCCTATATCCAAGTTCCAATCAGTGGGAAATGAAAAAAATATGTATGTACAAGCTAGGAGAAAGTTAGAAGGAATGAGGCATTCCTCTGAGATTTGGGGAAGCTGGCTTTCTGGGTCAGGGGCAAGGGGAACAAGGCACACATCTGGGGAAATGGATCATGTCTGGGTAGGTGGAACCACATCCCAGAGTAGGAAAGACTGGATCATCCCATCTCTAAGTATGGAGTCCAGCACGATGTCTTTCCTGAGAACTCTTCTCATACTCCTTAGTAATTATGAATATTCTATCATAGAATTAGCCCCTGGTTCTCTAGAACTCCTCACGAAATACAACTTTTGAGTCCCTTCTATGCATCATGCCGCACTGGTATGAGATGATTTTACCTGTAGGGCGGGTAGAATGCTGTGTGCAGGCATTATCCTATACTTATAGACTTAAAAAGTTTAAACTCAGAACAATGATTCCTTATGCATTATCCTATACTTACAGACTTAAAAAGTTTAAACTCAGAACAATGATTCCTTACCTCTGTGTGGTGCTTCAAATATTTTTCAAAATACTTCTACAGGATTTTTTTCTCATCACTCTGAAAAATATTATCATCTTCATTGTAAAGTTAATAAAGAGGTTTGGAAAAGTTACCTGAGGTCAAATGGCAGATAAAGCTGTATCTTTGAAACCCTCACATACTCTCTTTCCACTGCACCACAGCCACTTCTAGACTACTTACAGAAGCGTCAAAAGTCTGCCTCTCCAGGTCGTGGGAATCAGGGTATTCTTATAGTGCCAGACAGAGTAACCCACCACAGAGTACTTACTAATTGTAAAGGTAAAATGTACCTTTATAATGAAGAGTTCTAGAAGCCACCACTTGAACCAACTAATCAAACGTAGTTTTATTAATAGTGGGACATTATGCACATTCTAAGTTGATGTGATGCAATATGAAGTGAACATTATTATTTGTAATGTTTTTGGTAAAAACCAATTGGATCAAATGAAGCCTCTGGGCTCTAAGGTCTAGATCTAGCCTGCACTTCACAGGGAATAGAGGAACAAGTTAAATGACACTATGAGAAAACAGACAAATACAGATTGTAGAACATTTTGCAAGAATCCTAGTGAATGCAAAACAAATTACAGAACAGTACCTAGCAATATAAAGGAACACACTTCTGAGATATGCGCCAACACACCACACTGAAATTGTTTTGCTTGTTCTTGTTCCTTTGCCCCTTTAGTTGCCTCTCCCCTCCTCCAAACACACGTCTACCACCTTGAGATCAGGAACTGTTTCCTCTTTTTCATATTCCCAGTGCAAACTGAGCCTGACATACAGTTAGTGCCCCGTAATTATTTGCTGAATGAAAGACTTTCTGCTTTTCAAAAGAAAAAAAAAAAATTATGTTGCAAAGTAGTTATGAAATGTTATGATGTCCGTAACTTACTTTTAAATGATTCAACAATACAACTTTCGAGTGGCTCAACAATACACGTATATACACAAACACACCTGCATACATACGGAGAATGAGCGGAAATGGCAAAATACCAAGAATTGTTGGGTCTAGGTGGAGAGCACAAAGGTATTCATTGCGTTGTTTTCTCAACTTTCCGTCTGCATTAAAATTGTCATAAGAAAATACTGCAGGGGACATCTGTAACAAAAATTAATTAATAAAAGAAAGAAAGAAAGAAAATACCGCAGGGGATAAAAGCCCGCTTCTTCTCGCGGAGTTGCCTGGGACTCCGGCGGCCCAGCGAGCCGGGAGGGAACGCCTGGGTCCGCTCGCTCCGCTGCAGCCCGGCTCGCCTCCGGACCCCGTCTGGGCATGCTCAGAGGCCCCTCCCGCCCCGCCCCTCGGCGTACGTGTGCGCGCAGGGCGCAGGCGCGCGGCTCCCGGTAGCCCGCGAGAAGCCCGCGGCCAGACGCGGCTGTCGTCTGAGGTACGGAGCTGCGGAAGGATGGAGACGCTGAAGGTGGAAAAGTTCAGCACCACCGACCGGGGAAACGGGCTGCGCGCTGTGGCGCCACTGCGCCCGGGAGAGCTGCTCTTCCGCTCCGATCCCTTGGCGTACACGGTGTGCAAGGGGAGTCGTGGAGTCGTCTGCGATCGCTGCCTCCTCGGGTACGTACGGAGCGCCCTCGCCCACCCGAGTCCCGTCAGTGCGGTCCGGGGTACAGTCCGCTCCGGGACTCCGCCTGGCCGGGCTGCACCGCCGCTCGGCGGTGCTGCGAGGTGCCCAGCCCCGCACTCCTCTCGTGCGGTTCCCGGGGGCGCAGCGTGGCTGACAGACTCCGCCCGGCCCCCCTGTGGGCTGCCGTGCGGGGCGGGGGCTTGGGGCCATCCCAGGCACGGTCCTAGCAGCTGTGCGGCGGAGCTGGACCCACCAACACTCACTCACCTGGGGCTGCGGTAGGAATCGGGGGAGCAGGTGGGGCCGACTCACGTTGTAGCGTTGGGCTGCGGGTAATCTCGCTGGGGAACAAAAAGTCTGCGTCCTGCGCGACAAGCTTCACGAGTGTGGCGTGGAAATCACGATTGGCGGGGGCGGGGGCGGGGGCGGGCGGGCGCAGGGGTGGTAGAAGTCACGCTCACAGCTGATGCTCCGCTGGGAGAGGAACTGGCTTGCAGGAGGCGGAAGAATCTTGGTGCTTGGCGGACACTTTCTGTGGTCCAGGTTGCGTTTAGTCGGCAGAAGAACCGGGCATTCCTGAGAATCCTTAAGGAGCAAATCGGCCGGAGACGCTGTTCATTTCAATGTATCGGAAGTGCTGAAATAGACATGCAGGGCTGTGCTGTGGAAGCCTAAGTTCCCGAGGCTCCTTGGCGTGCTTTGCGTTTAAAGGCTGTGCAGGCAAGTCTGAACGATCGAGATGGGAGGACTCGTGTGGAAGTGTTTTATAAGCCTGGGAGCACTGGGCCAATGCAGAGTGTTAGGGAAAGCAATTTATGGAAATATGTAATATATATGCACAGTCATAGGCAACACATGTTACTGAGCTCCTGTTATTATATGCTGAGAAGGGCTCCGCTCGAGATGGGCTGGATGCTTTTTTCCCATCACTGCTCTATCAGACCCATTAGCCTGGCATTAGGGTGAGTGGAGGTGAGGAGGTAAGTGCAAAGCTCAAATCAGTCGCTTGACCATTAATCTTACTATGTCCTTATTGGATTCATAATTGAGGAATTTAGTTAATTTTGTATTTTAAAGTTAACAAATAATAATTGTATCTGTTGTTTCCTGAAGTAACCATAACAGCAGCAACAACAAAAATCTGTTGAGAGAACACTTTGAAACTTTTGTAAATTGTGTGGTTGAAAACCATTTATTATTCCCTTTCCATACTTGACTTTTTGCTTAAGTCCCAACATTGACAGCCATAGATCTTTGATTCTCATTCAAGGAAATTAGAGAAAGCCGGGCTCTTCATCCTCTTAATCCTTTGGGGGTGTATCGACAGTTTGAAGTAGTCCAAAGTAGAAAACTTGCTGTTTTGTTTTTTTTTTTATCCTCACCCGAGGGACTTTTGCATTTATCTTTAGATAGAGCAGGAGAGAGAGAGGGAGGAAGAGAGAGAGAGAGAAGCATCGATGTGAGATAGACACATGGAGTGTTTCCCCCACACACGACCCCAACCGGGGCCTGGGACAAACTGCAACGGAGGTATGTGCCCTTAGCTGAACGGAACCGGGACTCTCTGGTTCGAAGGCCCAGCTCTAACTGCTGAGCCAAACTGGCTAGGGCAAAAACTTGCTGTTTCTCAAATCCTGTGGGAGAAGATGTGGGTCATCTTGCACATAAAATTAGACTCTTAAGTTATTTAGTAGTTGGAATAGAAAAGTTTTGAAATGAATACCTGATGACAAATTACTCAATGAATTACCAGAGCTGGGCTTGAGTCATCTGACACATGGAATTATCTATTTTCCAAAACTGACTACACTAATCCAGCCGTTTGTGGGTGGGATGCTTCATGAAATACCACGTTACTTCATTACTGCTGTCTTTCACTTATTTTTTTCATTAGCAGGAACTGTAATGATTTAAGCAAAAAGACAAATGGAAAAATACTGAGGAGTTCTCAGCATTGCTTTAAGATGTGGAGGAAACATGGCTCTGAATATGGGCAGGAACCAAGGGAAGTTCCACAGTCATAATTGTGCTTTAGAAGTAGTTGAGGTTGGGTCCTGGAGTGTACGTCATTTCTAATGCTGTCTGGTAATACTGTGTTCTGCCGCATTAACACCATGACCTTGGACCCTGCTGCTGCTGTTTGGGAAATGAGTTATTGCAGGAAAGTTGCTTTCTCAACCATGCTTCTTTGTGATACTAGCTTCTGATTCAGAGACCTCATTGGGTGTCTTGGATTGGTTGAGCTTAGGTCACTGCCTGCACCTTGGCTGCAAGGGAAGCTAAGAAGGTGAATGTTTCGCCTTTTTCGCTTTAAAAAAAGGAGACAGGCTGTACTTCCCACCGATATTCCCAGAGTGGGAAAATCATCAAATCTAAATATAGGAAAAGAGCTATAAGTAAATGCCAAGCATCCAAACAAGACAAACTAAAACAAACAAATGGCTTTTTTATACTAACAAATGCTTGTTTATTAGCACTTTACACAAAAATATATATTTTCACTTCTTTTGGATTGCTAGGCTATAATTCACTTGTGCTTCAGCAGCTGTGTTTCTGAAGTGCCTATTTGGGAATCACTGCAGCCTGAAAACAGTGTTAGAGAAATTAAACTATAGTGCGTTGTGCAGTTTTCCAACCTATTGAAAATCTGTTATTATGGGATACATTTTCTATGTTCCTTATCACCTTGTAAGTAAAATTTGTTTCTTTATCTGGCATCAGTTTTGAAGTTCTTGAGAGCATCCTGTAATTTTTGTAGCCTCAATGCCTGGCACAGAGTAAGCTCTTAGTTCCTAGTGTGAACCTGCTAGCAGAGTTGTCCTCTAGCTGTCCTTGCCCTTCTGCTGCCTTCCTTTTGAATTAAGAAATGAATGACAATAGCCCTGGCCAGTTTGGCTCAGTAGAGCATGGGCCCGCAGACCAATGAGTTACGGGTCCGATTTTGTTCAAGGGCACTTACCTCAGTTGCAGTTCGTCCCCAACCCTGGTCCCGGTGGTGCGGGAGGTGGTCAGTCAATGTGTCCCTCTCATGTCGATATTTCTCTCTCCCTTTCTCTCCCTCCCACTCTAAAGATAAATAGAAAAATATCCTCCAGTGAGGATTAAAAAAAGAGAAATGAATGACAATATTAGTTTGTAACAATTAACAATAGTTCCATCATGAGGCAAAGGGGCGAACCAAATACATAATATAAAAGAACAGGTATTTATTATAATTACTTCATTAGTTTCCAAATGATTTATTGCCATCAGATTCTGATTTCCTTTGGCCTTGGGGTGTTTTGATTCGTGCTTGAGTTCTTCCATATTTATTTATTTTTACTTTTTTATTGAATTTATTAGGGTGACATTGATTAATAAAATATAGGTTTCAGGTGTACAGTACTATAATGCATCATCTGTATATTGTATTATGTGTTCACCATCCCAAGTCAAGTCTCCTTCCATCACCATTTATCCCCCCTTTACCCTCTTCTATCTCCACTACCTCCCTTTCCCTCTGTTAATTACCATACTGTTGTCTGTGTCTATGAGTCTTATATATTTATTTTTATTAAAGAGAAACTTGAACCTGCTCCATGACTTACCTTGCTTTTTTCCCTGTCATTAAGGATTGGTTTCTTGTTTCCCATGTGAGTGGAAAAGAAAATGAAATATGTAAATTAGAGGAAGATTAAATGACAATTAAATTGTTACATGAAATAATTTATATTATTTTTTTGCTGTGGCACACATTTTTAGTTGAAGGAGCTCAAAAGATTGATAGAGGTGTTACTTGTGTTATCTGTTAGTTTTGGTAAATGTAGCACAAAAAGTTCCATTGTAATTATTTTGTTTGTAGGTCTCCCCACTCTTCAAGGTGGTAAGTGACCTAAGTCTGGTATTCTTGTATCCTTGCCTGAGGCCTAGCGCACAGGAGACTCTAACTGTTGAAGTTGTGAAAGGGTAATATTTTGGGGAATTTTAAGTCACTGTATGTTTGTTTTTGGTTTTCTAACTTCCAAATTGCTTGCAGTTTTCATATCAAGAGCTTCCTCTGGAAAACTCCAATGGTAGTTTCTTCTGTAGGATAAAAAGGATGTATCTCTTCCATCATTAAGGCGAACTTGAGGCTTAGTGCCTCCCAAAAGGAAAGAGGATGAAATGGAAGTAGAAAGTCCATTTTTTTCAACCCTGGTGAATTGTGGGAAGAAGGAGGAACAGAGGTAGGGAAAACAGACTGTGAGAAATTTATGTTCTGACCTACTCTGTCTGGCCAAAGTTCTGGGGTTGAGGTGAGCGTGTTAATGAGTTGAGGGGACAGTAAGTGGAAGGCCTTTGGTGCTGCTCCTTATTGGTAATCTTGAGAGGAGATAGCTCTGTAGGTTACTGCTGTGCCAACATTGGGGGTTGTAGCATAGCAGTGGTGGAAGAAAATGGATAGAGAGATGAGTCTGTGGTAGCAGGGGATTCTGAAATGCTTTCCTATGACGGTGAGGGATGTGGAGGAGCTTAGAGGTCTGGTGGAACAGCAGGCATCATGACAAAGGACTGTGTAAAGGTTAGGATCATGTTCACCAGCAATGGGAGCCAGCATGGCATCCCAAAAGGTGGGATGACAACCAGTCCAGCCATGGGACCTAGTCACCTCCTTACAGCAGAGACCAGTGTGGATCCACAGAGACACCAAGATCTAAGGTCTTCCTTCCCACGTAAGGATGTCCCATAAGTCCCATTTGGAGAAAAATTTACCTGAAAACAGCTATTCAAACCAGCTCTGGTAAAAAGTTAAACTTTGATGTCTAAATATTAACTGGAAGAGACTGAGATGTTATTTGGCAAATTTTAAGTTTCTGGCTGTTTATTAGAGTGAGTGTTCATGGTGAAGATTATATCAATTATAGAAAATAGCACCATGTTCATGAGACAGATTAAGTCAGTTATAGAAAATAAAGCAGCCCTGGCCAGTTTGGCTCAGCAGTTAGAGCGCTGGCCTGTGGACCAAAGAGTC